CTCAACACTGGATAAGTGGAAGGAGTATACACCTATTAAAAACGGGGGCTTTAACCTCCCTAGCGGTCTGATTATGTCCATATTTCTGTGCTTAAAGCAGTACATTTTTTTACATGGAAATATGTATTTTTTTTATTGTAGGCCTGTAGTTTTTAAGAATACCTCACTGAAATCTGTCCGAACAAGTCTAGTAGACATCCCGGGTAGGATAAAATTTGAAACACTAAATCATAAATATAATAATCATAAAATTATAATAATAATAAATGTAATTAATTAATATAATCAAACAAAAAACACTGAAATTTGAAATATAGCGCCAAGTTCGCAATCACTGAGCAAAGTCGCAGAATCGTTTTCAGTGTCTGATGATGAATTTCCCCCACGAATCATTATCACTCAATTCTGCAAGTGGTTCTGATTTACTATCGCTGTTCTCTAGCTGGTCTAACACCGCTTTTGACCTAAAGGGACACTTTTTGGACGTTCTCAAGTTTCCAGGCAGAAAGAACAGTAAAAAAGAGGGCAGGGCGCCGGGCACAGCACTCGGGACAAAATGTATGTGAAATGGTTTGATCTCCTAGATTGTAAGCTCCAAGGATCAGGGCCCTCAAATCTCTCTTGTATTGTCTCCCTGCACATTGTAAAGCGCTGAGGAAACTGTTGGTGCTATATAAATCCTGTATAATAATAATAATACAGTAATGTAGTACTAACAGATTACAATGTATTGTGTGTATGTCACACTTTTACTTTTTTGAATCTCCTGCCGGTTCCGCCCCCCGTACGTCCCGACGCTCGCAGGGAACGGAACCCGGAAGACAGATGCCGGCATCGGCCGGAGATCGCAGAAGCACTACAGTGTAATCCTGAGTGTGGTTCGGGGTTACCGCTTTTGGTACTGCAAATTAACCCCGAGCCACACTCAGGATTAGCGCCAGGTTAATGTATGTGACAAAGCCATTGTGTACATCAAACATGCGATTTATAACAAAGGTTCATTAGGCGGGCACCTGGGCCATGTGTCAGTGACCCAGTAATCAGTGACGCATCCTAGGAGAGAATAGCATGCTCCCACGTACACTGAAGGGGGGCACTTCCAGACTGAGCAGCTTTCAAGGGAACATATCTCTTTGCCCAGAAGGGGAAAAATGTCTACTATACACAATGATCATCAACATTAAGTCACCGGTGCAATTTAAAAACCATGCAATTTATGTGCAATTTCAATGAAGACTTTGCTACTTGTGAAGATTTCTTGCAATGTGCAGTGCAATTTCCATTATGTTATTATTCTATGTATATGAAATTGCAGCAAAACTGCAGAAAAAGTAATGCAAGAACTTTAGAAATCGCACTACAGCAAATCGCCCGTTAAGACGTTGACATTCATATTTGTTAGATGAGAGTTCAATCTGCACCAGTGTGACCAGACGCTAAGTGCCCGGTCGTACCGATGCGATTTGAAATTACCCCTAAAATCTAGGGATGCACCGAAATGCTCGGCCGAAAACACCCCTTTCGGCCGTTAGCAGAAATTGGTGGAAAAAAAAAAAAAAGCACCGATACAGGTGCCAATAAAACGCCCCACCCCTCAGTAGTTCTCAGCCTTACCTGAGAAACCATCGATCCCAGCACTAGACATAGAGATGAGTGAAGGAAAGATGGCCGCCACTCATCTCTATGCCCTTGGAGGACCGGAACGATGTCACTTCCTGTTCCGGCCATTTTTTTTTTTGTAACGCACTAGCTCAATGCTTTTTTTGATCCAATGCTTTACATTACAGAGGAGGGATGTGGGGTCTTATTGGCCCCCTATCTCTCCATAAAGAGGACCCGTCACTAATTATTTCTATCACAAGGGATGCATGCATTTCTTGTGATAAGTGATTAAAATTATTTTTATGAAACGGCAGTGAAAAAAAAGCAAAAAAATAAAAAAGGTTAAAGTGCCCCCCCGTTCTCGCACGTAATGGTGAACACGCATATGTAGGCCATGCCCACATATGTAAATAGTGTTCAAACCAAATACATGAGGAATTACCACGAACATCAGAGCAAGAGCAATAATTCTCACACTAGACCTCCTCTGTAACTTTACACTACTAACCTGTACACATTTTTAAATCATCACCCATGGAGATTTTTTTTTTTTAAGTACCGCAGTTTCACGAGCGTGCACAATTTTACAGCTTGACATGTTGGGTATCTATTTACTTGCTTCTTTCATATTTTACAAAAAATTGGGGTATATATAGTTTTTTTTTAATCAAAGTGCATTTCCCCCCCAAAAAAATATATTCATTTTTAAAAACTGCGCATTTTGGTTTCGTTTTTCGGCCAAGTGCATTTTGAATTTTTGGTTTCGGCACCAGAATTTTCATTTCAGTGCACTACTACTAAAATAGCATCTAACGAATGTGAATGTCAGCGTCTTAAATCGCACCGGTATGACCGGGCACTTATGATAAAAGCAATCACAGGTGTTAAATGAAAAAAAAAAAAGGTTTATTTACATAAGTTTAACATAAAACAAGCTTGTTTCTTGCCACTACACAATGTTATTGCCAACAGATGTCAGCCATGGCAGACTACATTGTTGTGATACTATCCAATTGATGACTTTCAGAATGGACCAGAATAAACCAGTCCATGAACCCGGTCATCTTGCCTCCCCAACACGTATGTCATATTTGGGGGGAGTTAAACTTACCCAACTTTGTAGATGTGCCATGACACCAGAAACTGACAAACAAGTCATTGCTGAATACACCGATCAGCCATACCATTATGACCACCTAATACTGAGTAGGTCCCTTTTGCCACCAGACAGGCCTGACCTGTCAAGGCATGGACTCCACTAGACCGACCTTTGAAGGTGTGGTATCTGGCACTAAGCCATTAGTAGCATATCCTGAAAGTCACACTGCCTCATCTGGCTCACCTTCACCCATCCTGGTACCATCACTTCACCAGGTAAAAGGCGCACATGCAACTTGGACAGCCACACGATCTAAAAAATTAGATTCAGACCAGCCTGCAGTAGATTTTTGATGCCCATGTGCCCAATGTGTGAGCTTTTGGACATTGGTAAATGTGGAGACCTCGACTGATCTTAGTCTGTGCAGCCCCATTCGCAACAAACTACGATGCACCGTCTTCTGACACCTATCGGATGCAGCATTCACTTTTTCAGCAATTTGAGCTACAGCAGCACTACCAGATTGGAGCACATGGGCCAGTCTTTGCTCCCCATCAACATCTGTGAGCCTTAGCCCCCCAGGACCCTGCCGCTGGTTCACTGGTGTTCCTTCCTTGGCCCAACTTTTGGTAGGTCATGACCACTGCAGACCGAGAACATTCCAGAAGAGCTGCAGTTTTGGCTATGCGCTCACCCAATCATCTAACCATTACATATTGGCCCTCCTCAAATGCTTACATTTGCCCATTTTTCTTTCAAGACATCACTTCAGGGACATGTTCACTCCCTGCCTAATACACTAGATTGCCAAAAGTATTGGGACATCTGCCATCGCACGCACACTTTTAATGGCACCCGTCTTAGTACGTAGGGTTCAATATTGAGTTGGCCCACCCTTAGCAGTTATAACAGCTTCAACTCTTCTGGGAAGGCTGTCCACAAGATTTAGGAGGGTGTCTATGGGAATGTTTGACCATTCTTCCAGAAGAACATTTGTGAGGTCAGGCACTGATGTTGGACAAGGCCTGGCTCGTAGTCTCTGCTCTAATTCATCCCAAAGGTGTTCCATCGGGTTGAGGTCAGGACTCTGTGCAGGCCAGTCAAGTTCCTCCACCCCAAACTCGCTCATCCATGCCTTTATGGAAGTTGCTTTGTGCACTGGTATGCAGTCATGTTGGAACAGGCAGGGGCCATCCCCAAACTGTTCCCACAAAGTTGGGAGCATGAAATTGTCCAAAATGTCTTGGTATGCTGACACCTTAAGAGTTCCCTTCACTGGAACTAGGGGGCCAAGCCCAACGCCTGAAAAACAACCCCACACCATAATCCCCTCTCCACCAGACTTTACACTTGGCACAAGGCAGTCAGACAAATACTCCTCTTGAGGCAACCGCCAAACCCAGACACGTCCATCAGATTGCCAGACAGAGAAGCGCGATTGGTCACTCCAGAGAACACGTCTCCACTGCTCTAGATTCCAATGGCGGCGTGCTTTACACCACTGCATCCGACGCTTTGCGTTGCATTTGGCAACGTAAGACTTGGATGCAGTGGCTTGGCCATGGAAACCCATGCCATGAAGCTCTCTACGCACTGTTGTTTTGCTAATCTGAAGGCCACATGAAGTTAAGAGGTCTTTAGCTATTGCCCCTGCAGATAGTTGGCGACTTCTGCAGACTGTCAGCATGTGCTGACCCCGCTCTGTCATTTTACGTGGCCTACCACTTCGTGGCTGAGTTGCTGTTGTTCCCAGTTGCTTCCACTTTGTTACAATACCACTAACAGTTGAGCGTGGAATATCGAGGAGCACGGAAATTTCACGGATGGACTTATTGCACAGGTGGCTACCTATCACAGTACCACGCTTGAAGTCACTGAGCTCCTCAGAGCGACCCATTCTTTCACAAACGTTTGCAGAAGCAGTCTGCACAACTAGGTGCTCGAATTTATACACCTGTGGCCATGGAGCTGATTGGAACACCTGACTCCAATGATTTGGAGGGGTGTCCCAATACTTTTGGCAATATAGCGTACGTCCCACCCACTTTCAGGCGCCACTGTAAATGATATAATCAATTTTATTTGTCAGTGGTCATAATGCTATGGTTAATCAGTGTTTGTCACATGAAACTACAAAATAGGACCAGTCCACAATGACTAAGAGTCTAAAAAGTTGTTAAAGTCCTTTGAAGGTGGCAGATTAATCACAAGCGAGTTAAACTTGTAACAAGGGTCAGTTCTTAATAAAGCTACTCATTACAGGAATCCTTAAGGTAAAGCTGAGGTTAGGTCTTGATTATTAAAATCCATGGACTTTCAGTTGATCTTCTTTGGCCAGTCCAACCTAAAAGAAAGGGGGGAGAAAAAAGTTTAATATTTAAACATGGCCAACCACCTGGCAATACTACCCACCTCCCATAGTATATACTGAAAACTTTGCTGCCAGAGCAATTTTTTCACAAGTATCAAATCATTTTAGGGCTTAAGGATTATGTAAAACCCCGAAAACATTTTCTAAGAACAGCCATGCGAGAGAAAATTGGCAGTAGTTCCAAATATCACGATATTAGCACAATGGTTTACGGAATGCAAAAGTCTCAGTAAAAAGTACAAAAATAAGATGTTATTTTAGGGCACTTAAAGAACATTACCCGTTTCAGTAAAATAAAAGTTGGAAGTTGCGCAGAGTAAACAGACACCCAACATGTCAAGAACTGAACTAGTGTTGCCTGTGAAATAGCCACCCTATGTTTTCCCATAGGTGATGCTTTAAATGCCCCAAGAGGTCAGAGGTCAGTGTTCTATGGTGGTGATCTTTGATTGGTTGGACTGAGAGAAAGTCACTTCCACACACGTTAGAGAGTTCATTACCTGCACAGGCAGGTAAAGATTTGTTGAAGGAGAGCCATAGGATGTATTTTCTGCATGTTTTACAAATAAAGTTTTACTTTTTTTATTCAGGTCTGCCCAATCATGTGATTTATTGGCACAGCAATAAATCCTCTGGAGGGCAAGTGGTTAAGCAAGCAGAATCCAAAACATGGCATGTTGATTCTCTACTTTAACCCCTCGCCTACAGGGCACTTCTACCCCCTTCCTGCCCAGGCCAATTTCCAGCACTGTCACACTTTGAATGACAATTGCACAGTCATGCAACACTGTACCCATATGACATTTATAATTTTTGTGACAGCTTTATTTTGGTGGTATTTAATCAACTCTGGGTTTTTTTATTTTTTCTTAAACCAAAAACCACTGAAAATTTTGAAAAAAAAGTTTTAATTTTTGTTATAAAATTGTAAATAAGTGATTTTTCTCCTTCACTGATGTGCGCTAATGAGGCTGCACTGATAAGCAGCTCAAATGGGCACTGATATGAGGCATTGATGTGCACTGACACGAGGCACTGCTGGAGCTACACGGATCATCAGGGCACTGATGATCAGTGTACATGTCCCCTCTGCGGAAAGCCAATTACCGGCTCTCCTCTCGAGCTGTCAGCGTGACCACTCGAGAGAGAAATGCCGATAACCGGCATTTCCCTGTTTTACGTGATCAGCTGTGATTGGACACAGCTGATCACATGACTGAGCCAACATCTTCGGCTCTTTCCGTGATCCGCTGTGTCCGAGGGTGAGAATGAGAGGACGTCATATGACGTCCTCCCAGAACGAGAGAACCGCCTTGCGTCTGTCATATTACTATATGGCGGGCGGGAGGTGGTTTAAGTGGTAGTAAGCTCTGCCTTAACTTGTACCTTCAGGTAGGCCTATGAAAAGGCTCAGGCTTACCTGTAGGTACACTGAATATCGCCTACACTTGTACTATGCAGTTGTAGCAGACAGTGATGTCACCACCTCAATTCAGAGCTCAGTACACATGATGGCACACTAAGAGTGCTGTATGACAGCCGTGACTCCCTTGCGCATGGGTTAGAAGTGACGTCATCATGGCCCAGCCATTCAAACAGGCAATAAGGACAAACCTGGAAGACTGGGTGAATATGGAAGTGCCAAAAGCACGCCACTGGAAGGCTTTGTTTTACAGGCAGTCACAAAATGCTAGTGTGTGGTGCATACTGGCACATGACATTAACCCGCAGGGGATTTTTGTTTTTAAACCAGTCTCAAATTTCAGGCCACTGATCAGCATGTTAGCCAGGCAACTAGCATTTTCAGAAAACAATGTCAGCCTTCCTATTCCAAGTTTTGGCCTGACATGGTAACAACTTTGGGGGTAGGAGAACATTAACCCACTAGCATACAGGGCACTTATACCCCCTTCCTGCCCAGGCCAATTTTCAGCGCTGTCACACTTTGAATGACAATTGCGTGGTCATGCAACACTGTACCCATATGAAATTTTTATCATTTTTTTTGAGAGAGCCTTCTTTTGGTGGTATTCAGTCACCTCTGGGTTTTATTTTTGCTAAACCAAAAACCACTGAAAATTTTGAAAAAAAAAGTTTAATTTGTTATAAAATTTTGTAAAATAAGCGATTTTCCTTCACTGATGGGCACTGGTAGGCAGCACGCATATGCCACTGACAGACGGCACTGATAAGTGACACTGAAAGGCAGCTCAGGTGGGCACTGATATGTGGCATTGATGTGCACTAGTAGGCATTGGCAGGTAGCACTGATGGGGCTACACATCAGGGCACACTGATGATCAGTGTACATGTCCCCTCCAAGGGATGCTGATTCCTGGCTCTCTTCTGTCAGCGCGACAGCTCGTGAGGAGAGAAATGCAGATAACCGGCATTTCCCTATTAACATGCGATCAGCTGTGATTGGACACAGCTGATCACATGACCGAGTCGACATCTTCCGTTGATCTGCTGTGCCTGAGAGACACAGCGTACCACCGATCACCGTGCTGCGCACTCCCAGAGCCGCACTTGAGCGGTTGGAATGGGAGAACGTCATATGATCAAACGTTAGCATTGCTCCGCCTAATCAGGAAGCAGCAAAAGCCAACAGATACTCAGAACTTAGACTTCATTTGTAGGTCACAAGCCATTATACAAGGGGGGTGGCTTATGCCCCCCCCACTATACTGCAGAGATCCCCTAATGAACAGCAAGGAATGAGTCTTACCTCCATAAGGAACTGGCAAGCATTCTTGCGCTGGTCACCTTGAAGCTGGATCACCTCTCCGTATTCTGGGTGTTCAACAACGGTACCATTGCAAGCAAATTTCTATAAAAGGAAAAAAAATAAAAGATAAAAAAAAGGAACTGAAGCTCGGACCCGCCACTGGCAGCGATGTGCTAGAAATACAGAGTGACCGTGAGAACACCGACCTTCTTAAAAGCTTTGACTAGTTTCTTCTTGTCGTAGTCATCCGCAATGCCTTGCACAGTTGTCAGAGTCTTCCGGCCGTTCCTCTGCTGGATTCTTATATGGATAGAATCCTCTGTCCCAGCTGGGAGCCAGTCATCACCTTTACTTGCATCAGCAAAGGGGTCTGCAATCAGAACATGCAACATACATGAGACTCCAACAGTAAACGCCAGAGCCGGGGGGGGGCACAGTCGAGCCCCCAGAGCCGGGGGGGGGGGGGGGGCACAGTCGAGCCCCCAGAGCCGGGGGGGGGGGGGGGGGGGCACAGTCGAGCCCCCAGAGCCGGGGGGGGGGGGGGGGGGGGGGCACAGTCGAGCCCCCAGAGCCGGGGGGGGGGGGGGGGGGCACAGTCGAGCCCCCAGAGCCGGGGGGGGGGGGGGGCACAGTCGAGCCCCCAGAGCCGGGGGGGGGGGGGGGCACAGTCGAGCCCCCAGAGCCAGGGGGGGGGGGGGGGGGGGCACAGTCGAGCCCCCAGAGCCAGGGGGGGGGGGCACAGTCGAGCCCCCAGAGCCAGGGGGGGCACAGTCGAGCCCCCAGAGCCAGGGGGGGCACAGTCGAGCCCCCAGAGCCAGGGGGGGCACAGTCGAGCCCCCCAGAGCCAGGGGGGGGGGCACAGTCGAGCCCCCAGAGCCAGGGGGGGGGGGCACAGTCGAGCCCCCAGAGCCAGGGGGGGGGGGCACAGTCGAGCCCCCAGAGCCAGGGGGGGGGGGCACAGTCGAGCCCCCAGAGCCAGGGGGGGCACAGTCGAGCCCCCAGAGCCAGGGGGGGGACAGTCGAGCCCCCAGAGCCAGGGGGGGGGGGGCACAGTCGAGCCCCCAGAGCCAGGGGGGGGGGGGCACAGTCGAGCCCCCAGAGCCAGGGGGGGGGGGGGGGCACAGTCGAGCCCCCAGAGCCAGGGGGGGGGGGGCACAGTCGAGCCCCCAGAGCCAGGGGGGGGGGCCAGGGGGGGGGGGGGGGCACAGTCGAGCCCCCAGAGCCAGGGGGGGGGGGGGCACAGTCGAGCCCCCAGAGCCAGGGGGGGGGGGGGGCACAGTCGAGCCCCCAGAGCCGGGGGGGGGGGGCACAGTCGAGCCCCCAGAGCCAGGGGGGGGGGGGCACAGTCGAGCCCCCAGAGCCAGGGGGGGGGGGGGGCACAGTCGAGCCCCCAGAGCCAGGGGGGGGGGGGGGCACAGTCGAGCCCCCAGAGCCAGGGGGGGGGGGGGGGCACAGTCGAGCCCCCAGAGCCAGGGGGGGGGGGCACAGTCGAGCCCCCAGAGCCAGGGGGGGGGGGCACAGTCGAGCCCCCAGAGCCGGGGGGGGGGCACAGTCGAGCCCCCAGAGCCGGGGGGGGGGGGCACAGTCGAGCCCCCAGAGCCGGGGGGGGGGGGCACAGTCGAGCCCCCAGAGCCGGGGGGGGGGGGGCACAGTCGAGCCCCCAGAGCCGGGGGGGGGGGGGGGCACAGTCGAGCCCCCAGAGCCGGGGGGGGGGGGGGCACAGTCGGCCCCCAGAGCCGGGGGGGGGGGGGGGGCACAGTCGAGCCCCCAGAGCCGGGGGGGGGGGGGGCACAGTCGAGCCCCCAGAGCCGGGGGGGGGGGGGGGCAGTCGAGCCCCCAGAGCCGGGGGGGGGGCACAGTCGAGCCCCCAGAGCCGGGGGGGGGGGCACAGTCGAGCCCCCAGAGCCGGGGGGGGGGGGCACAGTCGAGCCCCCAGAGCCGGGGGGGGGGGGCACAGTCGAGCCCCCAGAGCCGGGGGGGGCACAGTCGAGCCCCCAGAGCCGGGGGGGGGGGGGGGGGGCACAGTCGAGCCCCCAGAGCCCACACTTGTCAACCACCAAGAATATAGGCAGAGATACTAGAGGGAGGAGCAAAGAAACGACGAGCTTCCTCAAAACCACGCCCTTTACATCAGCAGGCCGGGTGAAGAAAGGAAGCCGATAGTGGGGGGGCCGCCATCTTGTACAGCCCGACCAGCGGCCATCCTGCGATAGAAGCCCAGCTTTCACTAGGGGAGCCCCGGATAATCCTGACCTACACAGGCGGCCGTGTATTAACAATGCCCCGTGTAGTCGCAGCGGAATAACACCCTCCTCTCCCCCAGTGAGAACCCCGCCACTCACCGCCCGCCCCCCTGCATTTCCCCGCCACTCACCGAAGGAGTTGAGGTTCTGGATAGCGGACATACGATAAGATGGAGATTCCTGTGTGAGAACGGCGGGGGGGCTCTGGCGATAACCGAGTGAACAGCTCCTGTAACACGTACACAAGGAAATGGCCGCCGCCGCTGCTTTTATACCTTCTGCTGGTTTCGGTTACGTCAACACGTGGGGGGTGGGGCAGACGTACGCGGTCCCGCCCTTTTCGGGATGGGGATGAAGATGCGTTTGAGAGAGGGCTCCTGTGTCCGCCATCTTAGGTGTGGGCGCCTTATACTAGACCCTGCTTCTCGTAGTGCGGTATGTGCTGTGAGCGGCTTACTAAACGTCAGGAACGTTTACCTCAGAGCACGTAGAATGGCCGCCTTATTACAGAGGCCCTCATACTTCCCCATCGAGGCTTCCGAGCTCACCTCAGCGACCAACTTCCTTCGCAGCGACCCCCACCACACCTCACACACCCCTCCCTCCATCACAGCCGCTGCCGGCCAGTCTGATGAGAACCCTGGTGTGAGGAGGAGGTCTGAGGGGCTCAAAAGGGGGGACTTTGATGAGGACTCTGATGTAAGGGGGGACTTTGATGAGGACTCTGATGTAAGGGGGGACTTTGATGAGTACCCTGAAGTAAGGGGGTACTCTCTTGGGGATCCTGATATAAGGGGGACTTTATTGGGGACCCTGATGTAAGGGGGGGGGACTTTGGGGACCCTAATGTAAGGGGGGAGTTTGCTGGGTACCCTAAAGTAAGGGGGGACTCTCTTGGGGACCCTGATGTAAGGGGGACTTTGATGGGGACCCTGATGTAAGGGGGACTTTATTGGGGACCCTGATGTAAGGGGACTTTATTGGGGACCCTGATGTAAGGGGACTTTATTGGGGACCCTGATGTAAGGGGACTTTATTGGGGACCCTGATGTAAGGGGACTTTATTGGGGACCCTGATGTAAGGGGACTTTATTGGGGACCCTGATGTAAGGGGACTTTATTGGGGACCCTGATGTAAGGGGACTTTATTGGGGATCCTGATGTAAGGGGACTTTATTGGGGACCCTGATGTAAGGGGGACTTTATTGGGGACCCTGATGTAAGGGGGACTTTATTGGGGACCCTGATGTAAGGGGGGGACTTTATTGGGGACCCTGATGTAAGAGGGGACTTTATTGGGGACCCTGATGTAAGGGGGGACTTTGACATGGAACCTGATGTAAGGGGGGACTTTATTGGGGATCCTGATGTAAGGGGGGGACTTTATTGGGGACCCTGATGTAAGAGGGGACTTTATTGGGGACCCTGATGTAAGGGGGGACTTTGACATGGAACCTGATGTAAGGGGGGACTTTATTGGGGATCCTGATGTAAGGGGGGACTTTGACATGGAACCTGATGTAAGGGGGGGACTTTGACGGGGATCCTGATGTAAGGGAGGACTTTGACGGGGATCCTGATGTAAGGGGGACTTTGACGGGGATCCTGATGTAAGGGGGGACTTTGACGGGGATCCTGATGTAAGGGGGGACTTTGACGGGGATCCTGATGTAAGGGGGGACTTTGACGGGGATCCTGATGTAAGGGGGGACTTTGACGGGGATCCTGATGTAAGGGGGGACTTTGACGGGGATCCTGATGTAAGGGGGACTTTGACGGGGATCCTGATGTAAGGGGGGACTTTGTCGGGGATCCTGATGTAAGGGGGACTTTGACGGGGACCCTGATGTAAGGGGGGACTTTGTCGGGGATCCTGATGTAAGGGGGGACATTGATGGGGACCCCGATGTAAGGGTTGCTCATTTATTTATAAAACACGTTTCCTCCCCCAGACACTTGATAATTAATGATGTTGCACTCCTGATGATGATCCTCATACTGTAAAGTGGAGACCCCGGGTATAGACCATGCCATCATCATACGTGACTTCAGATCTATAGCTAGTCTGTAGATCTGTGACATGTAAACTGACACATGAAGAAGAAATCACTCCTATAAAAAGTGTTTATCCTTCCCATCCTTGGCTCTGTTTGTCATGTATGCCCTTATCTAAAATGGCTGCTGCCCTGTTCTTGTAAGAGGGTGGGGAGTGGCCAGTGCTAGGAGGAGTTTGCCTTGTAATTCATCCCAAAGCAGTGATGTCATGTATATGTCTCCAGGCATGAGACTTCCGAGAAAACTGTTTACTGTTACCTAGTAGGTTCCCCCTCGGTTTCACGTCACTTGGACGGATCACCTGTTGGGTTACACAAGCACTGGCCCTCCAACATTTCATGTTTACTTCCGTTGTTACCAAATAGACTGAAGAACATTCAAGTCACAAACTGTAACGTATTCGTTTAATTACCCACTTTTCCTCCAGAGGATTTACCCCCCCCCCCCACCTCCTGACCAGGCGCTACTTTGACTTTTACATCCTTTTTTCGTACAAATAGAGCTTTCCTTTGGTGGTATTTGATCGCCTGTTCATTTTTTATTTTTTGCGCTATAAACAAAAAAAAAAGACCAACAATTTTGAAAAAAAATATATATTTAAGTGTTGTTGCATGGCAGACCACTTCCTGTTATCTCACATATATATTCTTGTTATTATAGCCACATTTACCACCCTAACTCCTCCCACAGTTTTTACACTACATAGACAGTAATATACCGAAACGTGCGGATTGTTCCCGATTGGTGTGCTATTACTTTGTGGAACGTTTTGCCGAATGGTTCACGAAATATCGGCGTTTTTGTGGTGACATTGGTCCCATAGGAATGAATGGTGGATTGTTCAAAACTAGAGTGGGAGCTGACAAAAGCTAGAGTGTGAGATGAAAAATTAGGTTGTGATTTCTAAACTGCCATCACTCCCTCATTTTCAAGGCCACCTACACAAATCTTGTATCAAAACATTCAGCTATCCCTGCTGTCACTAAAAATGTCCACGGCTAAGCCATAGTCCTGATAGTTTTCACAATATGACCATTTGTTTGCAACTCACGCCGCCCATTGACATTCATTGAAACTCCACTCTAGCCTCCTCAAATTTGAAGGGCAATTTCTAAACTGCAACTTTGCCTTCATTTATAATATTTCAGAGACATACTATGCATCGAAATGTAGGTCTGGGTCTTGTGATTCTCACAATTTATAAAGCTTTTCGGTGTAGGATTTATAATTTTTAAACTACAACTGTTTAAAAATGGGAACCGCCAGTGAAGTGAGCAAGTTGGAGCAGTTTGTTTTTACCTCTTTTCTGCCCTTGCTGTAGAGTGAGTTGCCATAGGAACCCAGGTGTGTGAGCATGCAGCAGAGTGACAAGCCACTCCACCCAGTTACTCCGCCCACTCCAGTTGTGTAGACTACTGGTGGAGGCAAGAACACTCCACACAATTTCCCCAGAAATTGTAGCTTTTCTAGTTTTTTAATTTTTGCTGATAACTGCTTCCAGAAATCCTGCTACAGGGCGGCACAAGTGCGAAAAATCATATATATATATATATATATATATATATATATATATATATGTGATTTTGCATTTCCAGGTAGAGGGCGCACGCACGTCTTACCTGCGCTGCCATTTGCGGCCGTGGCTGTCAATCACCGGGTCCCAGCCGGTGATTACTTGCCCGCACCTCGTGATTACCGAGGATCTCCGACGGGGAGGAGAACTGTTTTGTTTACTAACAATTCTCCCTGTCATCTCAGGTTCACTGCTTTGGATGGCTGTGCACAGCCCAGCCATCCAAAATAGTGTGCTTACAGTGAAGCACACAAGACACCACCCCCTAGTAAAACACTCAGCACACAGTTAACCCTTTGATCGCTCCTCATGTTAAGCCCTTCCTGCCCAGTGCCATTTGTACAGTTCAGTGCTTTTTTTTTTTTAGCACTGATCATTGTATTGGTGTCACTGGGGATGTCAGTGACACCAAGTCAGTTCACCCCAGTGAACATTGGTAGGTGTACTGTAATACTGAGAGACAGAATAGCAACAAAAAATTCAAAAGAAATTCATGTCTAACAAATGATGCACTGATCTGCATGTTCATGAGGGAAATAAGTATCTGGTCCCCTATCATTCAGCAGGATTTCTGGCTACCAGGTGTCTTTCATACAGGTAACAAGCTGAGATTAGAAGCAGTCTCTTAAAAGGAGTGCTGCGAATCTCATTGTGTTACCTTTATAAAGACACCTGTCCACAGGAGCAATCAAACAATCAGATTCCAAACTCTGCACCATGGCAAAGACCAAAGAGCTGTCCAAGGATGTCAGGGACAAGATTGTAGACCTACACAAGGCTGGTCTGGGCTACCAAACTATCTCCAAGCAGCTTGGTGAGAAGGTGACAAGGTGTCATTAACATTCCAGTGACACCAATACAGTGATCAGTGCTAATAAAAAGCACTGACACTGTACTAATGGCACTGGGCAGGAAGGGGTTAACATCTGGGGCAATCAAAGGGTTAACTGTGTGCTGCTTGCTATGTGCGTGTGCTTCATTTTAAGGACACTGCTTTGCATGGCTCTGATGTGCAAAGCCATGCCTAGCAGTGTGCAGGAGCTGATGGGAGATATATATATTGTTTACTTACAGTTCTCTCGTCGAGTAATCACTGGCTGGGACCCGGTGATTTACAGCTGAGGCCGCGAATAGTGGCGCGGGTAGGGAGCATGCGTGTCTCGTGCGCGCCCCCCCTACCCGAAAATGCAAAATCACATATATATATATATATATATGTGATTTTGCGCATCCGTGCCTGCCCTATAGCAGTATATCTGCTATAGGGCAGCGGGAAAGTGGTTAAAGTCGAAGTAAAGCTGGCCATACACTAATAGAACTGCTGCAGGGCTGTGCAAAATCACGTAAATATATATGTGATTTGCATTTCCAGCTAGGGGGCGTGCACGCAGCCCTACCCGCCCCGGCATTAGCGGCTAGGGATGTCAATTGCCAGGTCCTGGCCAGAGATTCCCCGCTAGCACCCGGCGATCATCAGGCAAAGCTGACGGGAGAGACCTCTGTTTGCAAACAACACAGGTCTCTCTCCTGCCACCAAGGACATGCTGCTTTGTATTTCTCTGCACAGCAGAGAGATACAAAACAGCATGTCTTCCTAGTACAGCACAGCACATCATGTAAAACATCACACAGTTAACCCTTTGATCGCCCCAGATGTTAACCCCTTCCTGCGCAGTGTCATTAGTACAGTGCTTTTTATTACCACTGATCACTGTATTAGTGTCATTGGGATGTCAGTGGCAGTTAGTCAGTTCCCCCCCCCCCAGTATCAGAATGCCCGCCGCAGTCCCGCTATAAGTCACTGATCGCCGCCGTTACTAGTATAAATAAAAATTCCAGTATGTATACCGCCATTTGTGGACGCTATAACTTTCACGTAAACCAGTTGATTTGCACGTGTTGGGATTTTTTTTTATCTAGCAAAGGCATGTAGCAGAATACACATTGGCCTAAATTTATGAAGAAATTATTATATTTCTCACCTCAACACCCCAAAATTTTGGTCCTGCTGCATTTTTTTCAGCTTATTGCAAGGCACATTAAAAAAAGTTGGAATATGATAACCTCCAACGCTGGTGTCAGTGGATCCAATAATAACCCCCAGCATCAGTGTCAATAGATGCAGTAATAACCCCCAGCAACAGTGTCAATGAATGCAGTAATAACCTCTAGCATCAGTGTCAATGGATGCAATATTAACCCCAGCATTGGTGTCAGTGAACACAATAATAACCCTTAGTATCAATGTCAATGCATGCAGTAATAACCCCCCTGCATTGGTGTCCGTGGACGCAATTATAACCACCAGAAATGATATCAGTGGACGCAATAATAACCCGCAGCAGTGGTGTCAGTGGATCCAATAATAACCCCCAGCATCAGTGTCAATAGATGCAGTAATAACCCCCATCAACAGTGTCAATGAATGCAGTAATAACCCCCCAGCATCAGTGTCAATGGATACAGTAATAACCCCAGCGTTGGTGTCAATGGATGTAGTAATAACCCCAGCGTTGGTGTCAATGGATGTAGTAATAACCCCCAGCAGCAGTGTCAATGGATGCAGTAATAACCCCCAGCATTGATTTCAATGGATGTAGTAATAACCCCCAGCATTGATGTCAATGGATGTAGTAATAACCCCAGCGTTGGTGTCAATGGATGTAGTAATAACCCCAGCGTTGGTGTCAATGGATGTAGTAATAACCCCCAGCAGCAGTGTCAATGGATGCAGTAATAACCCCCAGCATTGATTTCAATGGATGTAGTAATAACCCCCAGCATTGATGTCAATGGATGTAGTAATAACCCCCAGCATCAGTGTCAATGGATGCAGTAATAACCCCAGCATTGGTGTCAATGGATGCAATATTAACCCCCAGCATTGGTGTCAGTAGATGCAACAATATCCCCCAGCATTGGTGTCAGTTAACACAATAATAACCCTTAGTATCAATGTCAATGCATGCAGTAATAACCCCCCTGCATTGGTGTCAGTGGACGCAATAATAACCACCAGAAATGATATCAGTGGACGCAATAATAACCCCCAGGATTGGTGTCAGTGGGCACATTAATAACACACAGCATTGGTGTTAGTGGACACAGTAATAACCCCCAGCATTGGTGTCAGTGGAAAGAATAATAAGCCCCAGCATTGGTGTCAGTGGAAAGAATAATAAGCCCCAGCATTGGTGTCAGTGGCCACAATAATAAGCCCCAGCATTGGTGTCAGTGGCCACAATAATAAGCCCCAGCATTGGTGTCAGTGGAAGCAGTGTCACTGGTGGGCACCAGGAGTAAATAATGGCTAGTGAGGAGAAATGACACTGCCTCTTAAACCTAAAAGGTAAAACTTTTAGTTTTGGATGGAGTGGTGAAAGGTTAGAACCCCTGTCAGGTTTTTGGCGCTGTCTGTGTCCCTGTTGGGGATATTAACTCCTGGTGATCATTGTCACTGAGACCAAAAATGATGGGAAAGCCAAAATTTGAGTTGTCACCAGAACAAGAGGTTAGGGCAAATCTCCGGATGGGACACCTGTTCCTGTGACAGCTGCCCAAGAAGGGGATTCCCCTAACATTGGGGAGATTTCCTGTTGCATCTTCGGGACAGTAAATGATGGGAAATCTCCCAAGTGGGACACAGTGAAACACTTTTAACCCTTTCTTACACAATCCAAAATGTTTGGAGTGTACATGCATGTTACCTCATAAATATATAAAGTAGCTTTCACCTTTATTGGGATTGTGTATAAAATGCTCTGTTGGGTTTATTTATTAAAGCTGGAGAGTGCAAAATCAGGAGCACTTCTGCAGAGAAACCAATCAGCTTCCAGGTTTTATTGCCAAAGCTTAATTGAACAAGCTGAGGTTAGAAGCTGATTGGTTTCTCTGCAGAAGTGAGCCGGATTTTGCACTCTAGGTTTAGTATATAAACATCCATGTGAGTTAATACACACTGACCCTTTTTTTTCTGGAAGATAGAGACAGAAGACATGGAAGATATATCTTAAAACATCAAAAGTCACATAAAAAGCTTTTTAGGGGAGTTTATATCAAATATTTATACATTCACTAAATTAACTATTTCACCTGCAGTGAATGTTTGCAGTACGTCACATTCACTGCTTTATAAATATAACTATAAGTAGTTCTTGTAGGGTATTCATTAATCACTGTTATTAGCAGACAGCATTTTTTTATTGCCTTCTTAGTAACTTTGTAAAGCTTCTAGAACATGTGACCTGTGACCTGTACATAGTTTATGTACGACTCAGGAACAACGCTTGGAGGACACATGACATATGCACGTTATTTATGACTCAGAAACTAATGAATCAATTTGACAGCTGTGTTTTTTTTTAAATGAATATATATTAAATATTATATATTTGCAAATTATATTTTATGTTTGCAGCTTTGTGTTGGAGCAATTTTCCTCTGGATCATATAATTCATGTTCTTCTAAAAAAAACAAAAAAAATTCTCAAATATCCATAATTGAGTAATATTTGTAATATTTAATAATATTCATATATGTGTGTGTGTATATATATATATATATATTTTTAGAGGGGGAAAACAAAAAAAAAAAATTCTGAACCAATGGACCTCAGACACAGTACAGGAGATGACCAGAGATTGCAGACATAGTACAGGAGATGACCAGAGATTGCAGACATAGTACAGGAGATGACCGGAGTTTGCAGACATAGTACAGGAGATGACCAGAGACTGCGGACACAATACAGGAGATGACCAGAGACTGCAGACATAGTACAGGAGATGACCAGAGACTGCGGACATAGTACAGGAGATGACCAGAGACTGCGGAGACTGCGGACATACTACAGGAGATGACCAGAGAATTGCGGACACAGTACAGGAGATGACCAGAGAATACGGACACAGTACAGAAGATGACCAGAGAATGCGGACATAGTACAGGAGATGACCAGAGACTGCAGACACAGTACAGGAGATGACCAGAGACTACGGACACAGTACAGGAGATGACCAGAGAATGCAGACAAAGTACAGGAGATGACCAGAGACTGCGGACATAGTACAGGAGATGACCAGAGACTACGGACACAGTACAGGAGATGACCAGAGAATGCAGACAAAGTACAGGAGATGACCAGAGACTGCGGACATAGTACAGGAGATGACCAGAGACTACGGACACAGTACAGGAGATGACCAGAGTCTGCGGACACAGTACAGGAGATGACCAGAGACTGCGGACATAGTACAGGAGATGACCAGAGACCGCGGACACAGTACAGAAGATGACCAGAGACTGCGGACATAGTACAGGAGATGACCAGAGACTGCGGACATAGTACAGGAGATGACCAGAGACTGCGGACACAGTACAGGAGATGACCAGAGACTGCGGACACAGTACAGGAGATGCCCAGAGACTGCGGACACAGTACAGGAGATGCCCAGAGACTGTGGACACAGTACAGGGATGACCAGAGACTGCGGACACAGTACAGGAGATGACCAGAGACTGCGAACACAGTACAGGAGATGACCAGAGACTGCGGACACAGTACAGGAGATGCCCAGAGACTGCGGACACAGTACAGGAGATGACCAGAGACTGCGGACACAGTACAGGAGATGACCAGAGACTGCGGACACAGTACAGGAGATGACCAGAGACTGCGGATATAGTACAGGAGATGACCAGAGACTGCGGATATAGTACAGGAGATGACCAGAGACTGCGGATATAGTACAGGAGATGACCAGAGACTTCGGCCTGGCTCACAGTCTCCGCTCTAATTCATCCCAAACATGTTCTATCGGGTTGAGGTCAGGACTCTGTGCAGGCCAGTCAAGTTCCTCCACCCCAAACGACTCCTCCATGTCTTTATGGACCTTGCTTTGTGCACTGGTGTGCAGTCATGTTGGAACAGGAAGGGGCCATCCCCAAACTCTTCCCACAAAGTTGGGAGCGTGAAATTGTCCAAAATGTCTTGGTATGCTGATGTCTTAAGAGTTCCCTTCACTGGAACTAGGGGGCCAAGCCCAACCCCTGAAAAACAACCCCACACCATAATCCCCCTCCACCAAACGTTACACCTGGCACAATGCAGTCAGGCAAGTGTTGGTCACTCCAGAGAACACGTCTCCACTGCTCTAGAGTCCAGTGGTGGCGTGCTTTACACCACTTCATCTGGCACTTTGCATTGCGCTTGGTGATGTAAGGCTGACCCCCTGACAACAGGTCCTGCTCTGTCATGTGACGTGGCCTACCACTTGGTGGCTGAGTTGCTGTTGTTCCCAGTTGCTTCCACTTTGTTATAATCCCACTAACAGTGGACCGTGGAATATTTAGTAGCCAGGAAATGCCACGGATGGACTTATTGCACAGGTGACAACAACCTATCACGGGACCACGCTTGGTGTCACTGAGCTCCTCAGAGCGACCCATTCTTTCACCAATGTTTGTAGAAGCAGTCTGCATGCCTAGGTGATGATTTTATACACCTGTGGCCATGGAGGGGATTGGAACACCTGAATCACATGACTTGGAGGGCGGGCCCAATACGTTTGGCAGTATAGTGTATTTATTACTATAGAATACATTAATATATTATATAAAATATTGATAACTTTAATAACATTCATTTATATATTACAGGTATTTGTGCACCAATGTACATATTGAACATTCAAATTAGTCCCTGCCCTTAAAGAGCTTACAATCTAAGGTCCAAATGCCTGAAGAAAACCCATGCAGGCACAGGGAGAACATGCAAACTCCATGCAGATAGTGTCCTCATTGCAATATGAATATAATGCATGCTTGACTTAAAAAATTTTCCATTATGGAAATCCGATTTCTTGTGAATTGGCCAAAATTTGTACCATGGGTGGACCCCATGCCAAATTCCTATAGAATTTATAACAAAATATATGAAAAAAGGATCAGTTGCGGATCGCAGTATGTTATCTATGGCCTTCTCTGCTCGTGCAAAGTGTCATTTGTTCAGTGTTGTCACATGTAAAGATATAATAAAATATTTCTGAAAATGTGAGGAGTGTACTCACTATTGTGAGATACTGTATATCTGTTCTGTTAGGGATGTTTATTTGTAGGATATTTTCTTATTGCATGATCTTTTTTTATAATAAATTTTTGATATTATGATTATATTTTATTTTTGCCCTAATTTTGTTATTTTTTTAATCATTTTATATTTAGGCACATATATATGTGCTGTTATGGATGTACAGTATATTTGTGGGTATTTTTCTTAATACATGATCCTTTTTATCAATTTTTAATATTATTATATTAAAATACTATACTTGTAGGGTATTGTTTTAATTACTTGATCTTTTTTATTAGTTCATTTTTATATTATTCTCATTATATTATTTTATTGTCCTAATGTTGTTTTTATTGTTCTTTGTATCATTTTATTTTCATGCACACATACATATATGTGTTCTCTTATGGATGTATATGTGTAAAGTATTTTTCCTATTACATTATATTTTTTTAATACTTTTTTTTATATTATTCTTATTATATTAGTTTATGTCCTAATTTTGTTTTTATTATTTTTTTTTTTAGCATTTTATATTCATGCACATATATATATGTGTGCTGTTATGGATGTACAGTATATTTGTGGGTATTTTTCTTAATACATGATCCTTTTTATCAATTTTTAATATTATTATATTAGATTGTAGATCCTAGATTGTAAACTCGAAAGAGCAGGGCCCTTGAACCCCTCGTGTTTTGTTACTGTATAGTCTCATGTACTGTCCCCCACTATAATGTACAGCGCTGAGCAAACCTTTTAGCACTATATAAATACTGTATAATAAGAATATTATTTTATTTTTTGTCCTAATTGTTTTTTTTTTTAGTGTTTTAGAGTCACACACATAAACACACATGCATGTTGTTATGAATTTATATGTGTAGTGTATTTTTCTTATTACACAATCTTTTTTATTAATTTTTTATATTATTATTATTATTATTATAGTAGTTTATTTTTGTTCTAATTTTTTTTATTATTGTTATTATTATTGTTGTTAATATATTTATTATTTCATTTTCACTATTTTCAATAGATCCTAATCATGGTTATATTGATTGATCTGAATTATAAATAATGTATTTGCTTTTATTTTTAAACATAAAAATTTTAAATAAATACCACTACAAAAAATGTATATATTTAAAATTACAAGTCCCACTCCAAATTGGTGAAAAAATTATTATATAATAAAAAAAAAATATATATATATATAAATATTCTTGAAAGTCCTCTTCCTAAAGAAGTAAATCGTGCTTCCGCCAAAAATAGTGTTCAAAAAATTATACCGCACTCACCAGATATTTTATATATATATATACATTTTTGTATTTTATTGCAATTATTACTAGTTCATGAATTTACTATTTATTGATTTATAATTTAATGGTTTTATCATATTTACCTTTTTTCATATTTTTTGTTATCAATTTTATAGGAATGATACAAATCTAGAATCTAGAGATTTTTTGGGCATGGGGTGCACCATTCCAGTTCTGGAAACCTAGCCTGCGCTTGATTGGCAGCCGGTGTGCATTACAGGATAGGCACTGGCTTATGAGATCACCCCTCCACTATAACCCCCGCCTTTCAAGAACATCCATGGCTGAATTTAATGCAACATTGATTGATGGATTTACTGTGAACTTTTTGTCTGCAGTCTCTCAACATCTCTTGTCTTGTATCTTGTCTGCAGTCTCTGAGCGGGAGCCTGGAGAGGAGTCAAGAGCGGGAGCACCTTCGGAGGTCACAGGAGGAGTTAGACGTGTGTGGACTGTGGTGAAGAGAATATAGGATGAAAAACCAGAACCGCCAAGCTGGAGCACGGAGGGGGACAGTCTGACTGAGTCCTGAATGGTGCACCTGAGAGAAGGTCAGTGACAGCGCCTGCAGGCCAGTTTGAGGGAGGGTCACTGATCTAAGAGGGGAGTGAATCCAATAGGGTAAGGGGGGGCACTGATATAAAGGTTCCCCCTTATATCAGGAACCCCTCCTTACCATAGTCTATTCACTCTGCAGAAGATGGTCTGTGGTCAACAAAGTCCCCCCCAATCAGAGTTCCATCTGAGGGCCTGAAGATCACAGGCATCCAATATTGCATTTCAGCCATGTCCCTTGCCCACAGAGATTTCTCCAGATTCTTGAAATCTTTTAAATATAAAACATTAAAACAGCGCAAAAAGAATTTTAAATAAATACCACTACAAAAAAAAATATATATTAATAAAATATCTGGTGAGTGCGGTATAATTTTTTGAACACTATTTTTGGCGGAAGCACGATTTACTTCTTTAGGAAGAGGACTTTCAAGAATATTTATATATTTTTTTTTTTTTTTATTATATAATAATTTTTTCACCAATTTGGAGTGGGACTTATAATTTTATATATATACCACTACAAAAAAAAATGTATATATATAAAATTATAAGTCCCACTCCAATTTGGTGAAAAAAATTATTATATAATAAAAAAAAAAAAAAAAAAAAATATATAAATATTCTTGAAAGTCCTCTTCCTAAAGAAGTAAATCGTGCTTCCGCCAAAAATAGTGTTCAAAAAAATGATACCGCACTCACCAGATATTTTATATATATACATTATTTTGTAGTGGAATTTATTTCAAATTCTTTTTGCGCTGTTTTAATGTTTTATATTTAGTTTTTTGGTGTGGGTTTGCACTGATGAGCAGCAGCATTTATTTGTATATTCAGTATTAATTTGTGCAAATTTTGGCGCTGGTGATTTATGTTTAAAAAATTTTGGAATCTTTTGATGATATTATGTACTGGTGAGGATGATATATTTAAAGTCTTTGCAATTTTTACATTGAGGAACATTATTCTGAAATGGACAATTTTTAGATACAGCTCTTCACTGATTGGTGAACCTCTGCTCATCTTTACTTCTGACCAGGGGCGGACTGACCATTTGGAAACTCGAGCACTGGCCGAGGGCCCGGGGTCAGTAGGGGGCCCCATGAGATGCCCCTGGTACCTTTTCATAGGCTTTTTTGAATTTGGGCAAGGACACGGGCCCCATGAACCCCTATTGCCCGGGGGCCCCATGAGTTGTCAGTCCGCCCCTGCTTCTGTCTCTCAAGCTGTGTATGTAGACTCTCTGATTGAGCTTTACAAGAAAACAGACATTCTTCATCAAAGCAGTTAAGATTAGCCTGGTAAACATGGAAAGGAGCCTGGAGCTCCTCCTGATGGCAGAAAGAAAGAAATCTGAAATATTTAACATATTTCTGTTGTGAGATTAAAGATTTTTCCCTGTTCTTAAATAAAAAAGTACTAAAGTGTATGCAGGGCCACCTCATGTCATGGTTTTCAGTGGTATTCCTGTTAAAAAAGCTGCACCTGTATCACACTATGAAAAGTGATCCTCTCAGATCGTTTTTCAGCGAGCAAGACGGGCTTAAATTAAGCCTAAATGTTTGACAAACAGTTTTATTAGCAAATAACAGTAAAAAGTACAAAACTTGCACTAAAATCAAAACCTGTCACCTATGAAAGGCTTTAAAATTGACGTTCTGTGCTGTTTGTTGATGAAAGTGCAAAGGCCGTACTGGATTAGAAACAACTTGTCCGGAGTCCCGCTTTATTGTTTCATTTCTTTATTCTTCTGCAGATAGATGTTTTCCACTGTTATTGTGCATGCATGGCTGAGTGCAGGGGTGGGCAACTGTGGCCCTCCAGCTGTTGGTGAACTACAAGTCCCATAATGCCTCTGCCTTTGGGAGTCATGCTTGTAACTGTCAGTTTTGAAATGCCTCTTGTAGACTTGTAGTTCTACAACAGCTGGAGGGCCACAGTTGGCCATCTTTGGCTGATAGGATTTTTCAGTGGCTGTCATACACAATATTGTCCATTAGATGGCACCCTTGTACAAAAACGAAATGGCTTCGAAGTCCCTGTCCTATGAAAAGTATGGGGATGGGGACTACTGGTATCCGTCTGATAAATGCTAGTTGCCTGGCTGTGTCTGGCTATACTACTTTGGCGCATGCTGTAAATGAGTGTCAGAACAATTTTAGAATTCCTTATCTCAGCACTGAAACTTTTAGCATCGACTTTACAGCCAGAGAAGTGAGACTCCCAGATGGAGAGGTCAGCAATGGCAGTCTCCATTCATCTCTAAAGTGAAAACATAAACGTAGAGAGGAGAGAAAACGATTGCAACACAATAATTTTAGTTAAAAGCTGAATATGTGATTCCATCATTGAAAGAACTGAAATTCAATGAATGAAAGGGTGGGTCAAGGACAGTCTCTGGTCATCTCCTGTACTGTCTGCAGTCTCTGGTCATCTCCTGTACTGTCTGCAGTCTCTGGTCATCTCCTGTACTGTCTGCAGTCTCTGGTCATCTCCTGTACTGTCCGCAGTCTCTGGTCATCTCCTGTACTGTGTCCGCAGTCTCTGATCATCCCCTGTACTGTGTCCGCAGTCTCTGGTCATCTCCTGTACTGTGTCCGCAGTCTCTGGTCATCTCCTGTACTGTGTCCGCAGTCTCTGGTCATCTCCTGTACAATGTCTGCAGTCTCTGGTCATCTCCTGTACTATGTCTGCAATCTCTGGTCATCTCCTGTACTATGTCTGCAGTCTCTGGTCATCTCCTGTACTGTGTCCGCAGTCTCTGGTCATCTCTGTACTGTGTCCGCAGTCCTCTGGTCATCTCCTGTACTGTGTCCGCAGTCTCTGGTCATCTCCTGTACTATGTCTGCAATCTCTGGTCATCTCCTGTACTATGTCTGCAGTGTCTGGTCATCTCCTGTACTGTCTGCAGTGTCTGGTCATCTCCTGTACTATGTCCGCAGTCTCTGGTCATCTCCTGTACTATGTCTGCAATCTCTGGTCATCTCCTGTACTGTGTCCGCAGTCTCTGGTCATCTCCTGTACTGTGTCCGCAGTCTCTGGTCATCTCCTGTACTGTGTCTGCAGTCTCTTTGGTCATCTCCTGTACTGTGTCTGCAGTCTCTGGTCATCTCCTGTACTGTGTCTGCAGTCTCTGGTCATCTCCTGTACTATGTCCGCAGTCTCTGGCCATCTCCTGTACTATGTCCGCAGTCTCTGGCCATCTCCTGTACTGTGTCCGCAGTCTCTGGTCATCTCCTGTACTGTGTCCGCAGTCTCTGGTCATCTCCTGTACAATGTCTGCAGTCTCTGGTCATCTCCTGTACTATGTCTGCAATCTCTGGTCATCTCCTGTACTGTGTCTGCAGTCTCTGGTCATCTCCTGTACTGTGTCTGCAGTCTCTGGTCATCTCCTGTACTGTGTCCGCAGTCTCTGGTCATCTCCTGTACTGTGTCCGCAGTCTCTGGTCATCTCCTGTACAATGTCTGCAGTCTCTGGTCATCTCCTGTACTATGTCTGCAGTCTCTGGTCATCTCCTGTACTATGTCTGCAATCTCTGGTCATCTCCTGTACTATGTCTGCAGTCTCTGGTCATCTCCTGTACTGTGTCTGCAGTCTCTGGTCATCTCCTGTACTGTGTCCGCAGTCTCTGGTCATCTCCTGTACTATGTCTGCAGTCTCTGGTCATCTCCTGTACTATGTCTGCAGTCTCTGGTCATCTCCTGTACTGTGTCTGCAGTCTCTGGTCATCTCCTGTACTATGTCTGCAGTCTCTGGTCATCTCCTGTACAATGTCTGCAATCTCTGGTCATCTCCTGTACTATGTCTGCAGTCCATTGGTTCAGAATATTTTTTTCTTGTTTTCCTCCTCTAAAACCTAGGTTTTGCTGCCAGAGCCGTTTTGCACACGTTTAAAAAAAAAAAAAAAAAAAAAACAAAACATTTGGGGCCTGAAGATTACACAAAACCCCCAAAACATTAAATATTTTCGGAAGGCACACTAGATAATAAAAGTAGTGGTAGTTCCAATTTTTTCTGTCACATGATATTTATTTATTTATTTCAGGTACTTATATAGCGCTGTCAATTTGCGCAGCACTTTACATATATATTGTACATTCACATCAGTCCCTAACCCTCAAGGGGTGTACAACTAAGGTCCCTAACTCACATTCATACATACACATACTAGGGACAATTTACACAGGAGCCAATTCACCTACCAGCATGTCTTTGGAGTGTGGGAGGAAACCGGAGTACCCGGAGGAAACCCATGCAGGCACAGGGAGAACATGCAAACTCCAGACAGGTGGTGCCAACGACCCTAGTACTGCCAGACGGAAGTGCTAACCATTTAGCCACTGTGCTGATATTACTGCAAAGGTCTAGGAAACTAAAAAATATGCTATTGTTTTAGGGAACAAAAACATGATAAATTAGCGTTTTTTTTTTGTAAAATATGAAAGTTGAGGTTGCACCGAGTAAACAGATACCCAACATGTCAAACCTTAAATTTGCATGCGCCTGTACTGTATTTGTTACATAGGCGATGCTTTAAAAGCCTCCTTAGTGTTGCAGAGGAGGTCTGGTGCTAGAAAAATATTGCTCTCTCTCCGGCATGTGCGGTGATATGTAATGTATTTCGCATGCCTTGGTCCCCCTGATGCTAGCATTTACGTTCGTGCAGGGCCGGACTGACAACTGACGGGGCCCCCGGGCAATAGGGGATCATGGGGCCCCTGTGTCCATGCCCAAACTCAAAAAAGCCTATGAAAAAGGTACCAGGGACATCTCATGGGGCCCCCTACTGACCCTGGGCCCTCGGGCAGTGCCTGAGTTTCCAAATGGTCAGTCCGCCCCTGCGTTCGTATGTGCGTAAATGTGGAGGTCCGCAAAACATTTTTTTTTGGGGAGGGGGGGGGGGGGGATTTTATGTGCTTGGGTTTAACTTTTTTATAATTAAAAATAATTTTCTACCTAACTTTTTTTTTCATCATATACTGTAGGTGACTATGTGATGGTTTTTTTGGTGATAGTCTCTCTTTAATGAGACCCTGAATGTCTCCCCTGTGCTCCACTTAATAAAATGCAATGCAGATCGCATTGTATTACATTCTTTTCTGGCCATGCTGGTCAGGTACAATGACAGGGTTTCCCAGAAGTGACGTTCTATATGTGTCTGCTCTGCTTCCTCCCCTCTACCTGGCAGCACCCGCTATGTCATGTGCCTTTAAACACTTGCCTATCGGGCACTTTTACCCCCCTTCATGCCAGGATCTCTGGGTGAAAAAAGAATGATCAGCCTGAAAAGCAGAAAACAAATGCAGCCATCACATCCAAGGAATGGTAAGCTGCAGTATATTTAATTGTCCCACCATACATGCTACCAACATTCCACAATTCCCCTTCTGGTGCCCTCTCCTTTTATTCTTTTACTAGGATGTTGGCGACATTTTTTAGGATTTTGGTTGTATGAGGATTACTTTTATGACATTTTTTTTTTAAAGTTTATCATGGTTTTGTTTGAATTCAGCAGTTTATAGTTTGCTGAGTGAGACTGTAACTTTTTTCAAGATTTTTAAATTAAAACCAAAACCAACTTAGAATAAGTTCTGATTGACATAAGGCTCGGTTCACATTGCTGCAACCCCATTGTCGTGCGATTTCCAGTGCGACCTTCAGTGGGTCTTTCATGCGGCTTTCATGGGACCCTAAGTTGAACTGAAGTTGTATTAAAGTAGTGCAGGAACCTATTTTTGCAGTCGCTGCAACTGAATCGATTGGAATGGCTGCAATTGAAACAATGTGTTTTTGACTTGTCATGTGACTTTAGATGTCGCAAGTCGCAGCAGTGTTAGCCAGGGGTTAATATACCTAGTAAACTGCCACTTCCAACACCAGGAGCCAATAACAGAAGCCATACAGTGTCAGGGTCCCTAAAACCTTGGAAGGTCTATGAGGCATTTCGCACTCTAGTTTTGGCCCATGCTTTCCTACATTTCCTCATTAACCAATCATTATAATGGGTGGCCTTACAGAGCATGAATGAAGCAGGCCAGACACCATTACCGCATTTAATTGTGATGATTATGACATAGTACTGTGTATTGTAAACAGCTGTCTTTTCTAAAAAAAAATTTTCATCCTTTGCTAAGTCTCGGTGTTGCTGATCTCCTGCAGCCTCTTTGCAGCTACTTCATATCTTCATGCACTCCAGCAATGGCTGCATTGCCTTTGTCTGGGTGGGATTCCTGATCGTGACACCAGTGGATGCATTCATAAATGTAGGTTGAAGCTGCACAAGGACAGCAAAAATAATTTTAGATTTGACATAGAAGCATTGCACTACAAGTTATTAGTCCATCTAGTGTTTGTTCTCACCGTGCCTGTGCAGGTTTCCTCCGGGTACTCCAAAGACATGTTAACTACAAGTTATTAGTCCGTCTAGTGTTTGTTCTCACCGTGCCTGTGCAGGTTTCCTCCGGTTTCCTCCTACACTCCAAAGACATGTTAACTACAAGTTATTAGTCCGTCTAGTGTTTGTTCTCACCGTGCCTGTGCAGGTTTCCTCCGGTTTCCTTTCCTACACTCCAAAGACATGTTAACTACAAGTTATTGGTCCGTCTAGTGTTTGTTCTCACCGTGCCTGTGCAGGTTTCCTCCGGGTACTCCGGTTTCCTTCTACACTCCAAAGACATGTTAACTACAAGTTATTAGTCCATCTACAATTTTATTTCATCTATGATCAGATAGAAGATCAAATTAGGAATCCAACGTGTTTCCAGGACCCAACATTGCCCTTCTGTAGGGCTAAGAAAACGGAATTAAAGTAATATAAATAAAGCATTTACTGCATTAGTTATGAAACAGTGAATGTGACATTCAGAGAACATTCACTGCAGGTGAATGTCTTTAAATAAAATTGAAAGCTTCATGAGCAGTACATCACATTTACACCTTTATTACTGCTGGACAGCACAGTGGCTAAATGGTTAGCAGTACTGGAGTCGCTGGTTTGAATCCCAACCACGGCACCATCTGCCTGGAGTTTGCATGTTCTCCCTGTGCCTGCATAGGTTTCCTCCCACACTCCAAAGACATGCTGGTAATAAAATTGAAAGCTTCATGAGCAGTACATCACATTTACTCCTTTATTACTGCTGGGCAGCACAGTGGCTAAATGGTTGGCAGTACTGGGGTCGCTGGTTCGAATCCCAACCACGGCACCACCTGCCTGGTGTTTGCATGTTTTCACCGTGCCTGTGCGGGTTTCCTCTGGGTAATCCGGTTTCCTCCCACCCTCCAAAGACATGCTGGTAGGTGAATTGGATCCTGTCTAAATTGTCCCTAGTATGTGTATGTATGAATGTAAGTTAGGGACTTTAAATTGTACACCCCTTGAGGGTTAGGGACTGATGTGACTGTACAATATATATGTGTAAAGCACTGCGTAAATTGACAGCGCTATATAAGTACCTGAAATAAATAAATAAATATCATGTGACATACAAAATTGGAACTACCATTATTTAATTATCTAGTGCAGCAATGGGCAAACTACGGCCCGCGGGCCGTATACGGCCCGGCAGACCTTTTAATCCGGCCCGCGGAGCTAGGCTCCCGCTAGGCTCCTCTCACAGTCCGCCCTGAAGATCGGTGTAGCATGAAAATCTGTCTCCTATGAGGATCTGTCCCCCTGGACGTATCTGCGCATGTGCCGGAGATCGCCGATCGGCTGCTAATGCCTGAAACTGGCACATGCGCAGATACGTCGAGGGGGGGCAGATCCTCATAGGAGACAGATTTTCATGCTACACCGGAACGGCGCGGGAACACGGCGAGAGGAACGCGCGGAGAAAAGGTAAGTGAATTGACACAGGGGGGACTTGGGGACTTAATATGGGGGATGAATTAATATGGGGAATGAATTACTATATGGGGGATGAATTACTATATGGGGGATGAATTACTATATGGGGGATGAATTACTATATGGGGGATGTATTACTATATGGGGGATGAATTACTATAGGGGGGATGAATTTCTATATGGGGGATGAATTACTATAGGGGGGATGAATTACTATAGGGGGGATGAATTACTATAGGGGGGATGAATTACTATATGGGGGATGAATTACTATGGGGGATGAATTACTATGGGGGATGATGAATTACTATGCGGGATGAATTACTATATGGGGGATTAATTACTATGGGGGATGAATTACTATAGGGGGGATGAATTACTATAGGGGGGATGAATTACTATATAGGGGAAGGAATTACTATATGGGGGATGAATTACTATGGGGGATGAATTACTATATGGGGGATGTATTACTATATGGGGGATTAATTACTATGGGGGATGAATTACTATATGGGGGATGAATTACTATGGGGGGTGAATTACTATATGGGGGATGAATTACTATATGGGCGATGAATTACTATATGGGCGATGAATTACTATGGGGGATGAATTACTATATGGGGGATGTATTACTATATGGGGGATTAATTACTATGGGGGATTAATTACTATATGGGGGATGAATTACTATGGGGGATGAATTACTATATGGGGGATGAATTACTATATGGGGGATGAATTACTATGGGGGATGAATTACTATATGGGGGATGAATTACTATGGGGGATGAATTACTATATGGGGGATGAATTACTATGGGGGATGAATTACTATATGGGGGATTAATTACTATGGGGGATGAATTACTATATGGGGGATGAATTACTATATGGGGGATGAATTACTATGGGG